TAAGACATACAACTTTCCATCCAATTCCAGATTAACCCTCCTACCACTTTACTCACAAAAACTACCTTTTCTTAACAAACAAAGCTCAAGTCTGTCTCAAAATAGAGTTGTATTCATTTCAGTATTTATGCATTTGTTAAATGTTTAACATGCTTTTATAAAACTGTGCTCCTATTTTTATTAGGTTCCCTTTTTAAAAATGTCACCAATATAGTTTTTGAGCGTTGTGACTCTAGCTCCATTTTTCACAATAATCCCTATGATTTTTATTGTGCCCTTTTGTATAACATGATTTTTAGGAACATGTGTTGCATTACAGCAAAACTGACTACATTATTATAATTCCCACTTTGCAGATAAGGAAACTAAGTCATGGACAGGTTATATAATCTGTCCAAAATCAAATAGTTAGTGAGTGGCACAGCAGGATGTGAAGCCAGACAGTCTAACTTTAGAACCTGCACTCTGAATCACTACCTGCCTCCTAGTAATTGATATCAAATAGTTCTACGTTAGTAACCACACACAGTTAATTAAAAACTGTTTTCCAAATACAAACTTGTATCTCAAAGAGCCCAGAGTAAGAAAATTTCAGCTTACATAAAAGTTCACCTAAAGAATCTTAAATATAATGTAACAGAGATTAACAACAACAACAAAAAACCAATATGAATCAGCTTTATAATTCTATGCCATGAAGGAAAAATATATAAATGTTAAAGAATATATAGCATTCAAACTAGGTAAGATGTTAATTTTTCAGATACTGCATTTTTCAGTTCCAAAAGTTTCATTTGATTCTTTTTTAGTTTCTGTTTCCCTGTTGGTATATTTTTTCTTTTCATTTCTTATTTATATTCCTAAATATTAAGGGGGTACAAATGTTTTTGCTTACATGTATTGATTTTGTTATGCTTGAGTCAGAGTTATAAGTGTGCCCATCACCCACACAGTGTTCACTGTACCTGTCAGGTAGGTTTTCACCCATCCCCTTCTCTTCCTTCTCCCTGGCTTGATTTCCACTGAGTTTTACTTTCCTCTGTGTACACTTGTGCTCATCGGTTAGTTCCAATTTAATAGTGAGTACATGTGGTATTTGTTTTTCCATCTTTTAGATACTCCACTTAGCATGATGGTCTCCAGTTCCATACCAATTGTTGTAAAAGGCCTTAATTCATCCTTGTTCATGGCTGAGTAGTATTCCATAGCACACCCATATCACATTTTCTTAAACCACTCATGAACTGATGGGCACTTGGGTTGATTCCACATCTTTGCAATTGTGAATTGTGCTAAAATAAACATTCAAGGGCAGGTGTCTTTTTGATAAAACGAGTTGTTTTCCTTTGGGTAAATACCCAGTAGGGGGACTGCTATAACAAATGGTAGGTCGACTTTTAGTTCTTTGAGGAATCTCCATACTGTTTTCCATGGAGGTTGTACTAATTTGCAGTTCTACCAACAGTGTGTAAGCAAGCATTTCTTTCTTTCTGCATCCACGCCAGCATCTATTGTTTTTGGACTTTTTAATAAAAGCCATTCTAACTGCAGTAAGGTAATATCTCATTATGGTTTTAATTTGCATTTCCATGATAATTAACGATGTTGAGCATTTTTTCGTGTTTATTGGCTATTTGTCTATTTCTTTTGAAAAGCTTCTGTTCATGTTTTTTGCCCACTTTTTAGGGGTTATTCTTCCCTTGCTGAATTGCTTGCGTTCTTTGTAATTAGCTCTCTTTCGGATGTATAGCATACAAATATTTTCTCCTATTCTGTACGCTGTTTGTTTGCTCTGTTGATTATTTCCTGGGCTATGCAGAAACTTTTTAATTTAATCAAGTCCCATTTATTTATTTTTGTTCTTGCTGTGACAGCCATTGGCTCAGCCTCACAAATAGCTGGGACAACAGGCGTGCACCACCACACCGAACTAATTCATGCTGGCATTTCATCTTTTCATTCATTGGGATGCATTTTCCTTTATATTATTAACCATATTTATAACAGTTGTTTTAAAATGCCTGCAAATTACAAATGGGACATCCTAGGGCTGGTTCCTGTTGATTTTTTTTTCCTTGAAAATTACATTTTGCTGGTCTTCATTTTTATTGAGGTTTAAAAAACATAAATTTTACCATTTTAATCATTTCTACAGTTTAGTGGCATTAGATATGTTCACAGTATTGTACAACCACGACCACCATCCATCTCCATAATTTTTTCAACTGCCAAACTGAAACTATAACCATTATATAATAACTGCCATCCTGGTTTTACTTATGCTGAGTAATTCTGAATTGTATCTTGGACATTATGAATATTACATTGTAGAGACCCCGGACACTGTTATAGTCTTTGAATGAATACTGGATTTTTGTTTATTTTAGCAGGCAGTTAACTTGGTGGGATTCAAAGTGAAAACTCTGTCTCTTGAGTACACCTCAAATTTTAGTTTAGTTCTTTATTCTGAGCTGTGCTGCTCTGAATCCACTCTATACATGTGTGATTCAAAATCTAGCCAGAAATAGAGTTATTCACAGATTTTGAGGCTTTCCTACTCTGGCTCTCTCTCCTTTCTAGAATTTTTTCCTTATTTTTCCAATGTTTATAATTTTCCTGAACTCTGTCCTCTATTTCCTCAAGCCAGAAGGACTTTGGCTTTCCTTTTGGAGCTTCAGCTGCTGTGCATAGTATGAACTGCAGCCCATCCTCATAAAAGCCATAAAAATGAAGAAAATCACTCTCTGCCACTCCCTTCTTCCAAGTATCAATTCTCCTCCAGAATCCATCTTGCTTTTCTTTACTCTTCTGAGTCTTTAGATAGTTGTTTGGTTTTTTTGAGAATTTCCAGTTTGTTTTCTCATGGGAGGGTCAGTCTAATAGATACTGAAAGTGGACTATTCACTCATTTTAAAATTCTTTTAAATTCTTTTTTATATCATGTCAAAATATTTTGAGGTAGTAAAGAAGTTTATTATTCAGTTATTCTTTAAGCATACAAATAAAATGTGCTAAATCTTATAAAAATCAACTGAGACATTCCCTATAACTAAATAGAGAATTCAATAAAAATTCTGGAAATGTTCACTGAGGTATCTAGATCACAGAGAATTTAGGTCCACAAATAAGTATTAGGACTCCATGGCAAACCAGCCCCTGAACACTGTGGCCTACTCTCCTTATAGTTTAGTTTTAAAGATGATAAAATAAATATGTAACAATAATAAGGAGATGAGAGGTCAGAGAAAGTTCTATAAAGGATAAGACTCTTGACTAAGGGCTTATAAAAGAGTGGTTTACTACACAGAATAAGGAAAGAGGAGAGCAGAGGATCAGAGTCATAAAACAGGATGGTGTTTTTTTAGGAAACTTTTAAAGTCAAGTCTGGAATGGTAGACGCTATGGTCTGAATGTTAGTATTCCTAATCACTAATGTGATGATATTGGGAAACAGAGCCTTTGGGAGGCGATTAGGTCATGAGGGCAGTCTTTATGATGAGAGCTAGTTTACCCCTTTTATCATGTGCAGACACACTGAGAAGGCACCATTTATGAACGAGAAAGTGAGCACTAACCAGACCAAATCTACAGGCACCTTGTTCTTGAACTTCCCAGCCTCCAGAACTGTGAGAAATAAATGTCAGTTGTTTATAGGCTTCCTGGTATATGGTATTTAGTTATAGCAGCCCAAATGGACTAAGATACTTGGCAATTTGAGGACATGGAATGATTTGTATGCTCTACTAAATAGCGTACCTTGTCCTAGAAGTGAAAGCAAACCTTTTAAAACTTTTTAAGACTGGACTTGGTGGCTCACACCTGTAATCCTAGCACTTTGGAGGCTGAGATGGGAGGACTGTTTGAGACCTGGAATTTGAGACCAGCCTGGGTAACATAGCAAGACCCTGTCTCTAAAAATTTTTTGAAAATTACCCAGACATGGCGGCATGTGCCTGTAGTCCCAGCTACTTGGGAGGCTATGGCAGGAGGATCACTTGAGCCCAGGAGTTTGAGGTTACAGTGAGCTATGATCATACAACCAAAACTCCTGGGCAACAGAGTGAGACTCTATCTCTTTTAAAAAAAAGCTATACACACACACATATACATATATATATAGCTTAATGATTATTATGAAAGAAATAGAGAAATAATATGTTAATCAAGATTCAACAAAACCAAATAAAGGTTCTATCTTTGGCCCTTTTTTTGTAGCTAATTATTAAATAACTAATGAGTACAGTACTCTTTATTTAGAAATTGTAGAGTATGTTCCATGTCTTCTTATCCAGTGAATTTGAAGACAACATAGTTTGCACTCATATTTTTTTTCTTAAACTATATTATTAATAGAAGTTGTTTAGCTCAGCTTCTGAAGTGTTCTACTGTATATTTTAGAATGATACTTCTAGCTAACCAGAGTAGGTTTCACCATTCGCTGGAGAAAACATGATGATTTTTTAAAAAAATACCACAAATTTTCACTTAGCTCATTGTTTTTAAATGATTAAGTATAAAAATAGATTAATAAGGTGTCCTGTAGAATTGTACTGTGTCCTTCAATACTTCTCAAAAAAAGGAGATTGAGAGAAATAACAAATGAAAATTAGCATTAAAGAATGGTTTTAAGCACCATCAACTTGATAGTATTTTTTAAATTGTATGGTTCATAACCCATCGGACATGAGGAGACTAAAATGATTGCACTGACCAAAATGTAAAAACTTCAGATTTTCAGTAACTCCTAGAATTCCATTGTATCTCAATAAATCTATTATAGCACTTACCACATACTCTGTCATTTTTTTATCTACTTTTCTCTCCCACTAGACTAGAACGTCATCTCCTTATACTGCTACTATCTAACATGGAACCGGAAATAAATATGCACCTAGTAATTATTGAATGGATAGACTAATGCAGGAACAGACCTCACCAGGTTGATCAGAGTGAAAAGGAAAGTACATATCAAATAGGTTGACTGAGGGTTAGACTCTTACCTGTTTGGAGTTGGTTAAATACAATTTTGCTGCCAGATTTAAAATCTGCAGTTTTACCAGATCATCTTCGCTAGTGAAGCTTTTAGCCATCTTCCTTAAAACATCAGGGGCAATTTTAGGAACTCGTTCACAGTTCTCTCCAATTAGCCAAAGAATACTTGCTCTAGCCACAGGAACCTAATATTAGAAGCAGATTAAATAGTTAGAAATAAGATAATCATATTCTCCTTAATATTAACATAGAAAACGTAATAAATATTATAAAGGTTTTACATATATTAATTCATTTAATGTATATCCAGAAAGTGTTCTATATTTCTGGATTTTCTTTAGTTATCAAAAAACAAATACACAGAAAATCTCATTACAACTGATTTCAAAGATAATTCTTTAGAAAAGATTCAGAGAGTATAAACCATTAGTCTAGAATCTAGATTCTGTTAGAGACTGGTGAATTCTTGGACCAAGTCTGGCCAACCATGACACTGTGCTTCTGTATTGTCTGCTGCTGCTTTTGTGCTATGATGGCAGAATTGAATAGTCACAATGAAGACCTCAAAGCCAAAAATACTGACTATTAATATGTAGGAAAAGTTTGCTGTCCCCTGCTCTAGAGAGAGCAACAGTTTTCACACCTTAATGCCCATAAAAATAATCTAGGGTTCTTAGTAAAAAGGCAAGTTTCTGGCTATCAGCTTCAAGATTGATTGCTGGGCCACAAAAATATTATATTTTAAGGCTGAACACAGTGGCTCACGCCTGTAATCCTAGCACTCTGGCAGGCCGAGACAGGCAGATTGCTCGAGGTCAAGAGTTCAAAACCAGCCTGAGCAAGAGCAAGACTCCATCTCTACTTAAAATAGAAAGAAATTAATTGGCCAACTAATATATATATATATAAAATTAGCTGGGCATGGTGGCGCATACTTGTAGTCCCAGCTACTCAGGAGGCTGAGGCAGGAGGATTGCTTGAGCCCAGGAGTTTGAGGTTGCTGCGAACTAGACTGATATCATGGCACTCTAGCCCAAGCAACAGAGTGAAACTCTGTTTCAATCAAAAAAATAAAAAAATTAAAAAAATAAAAATAAATATATATATTATATTTTAAGAAGCATCACAAGTGATTCCTGAGGAAGTTGGTCCACAAACCACATTTGAGAACCCATGGATAACACAGAAAAAGGAATACATCCATTGAAGACTATGATTCCAAATCAAAACTATTCTTGCTCTTTATGTATTTGTGTATTTGTATCTACAGTACTGGAAATATACCAAACTGACAAGATCATCCAGGTCTGCTTATAAAATCATGAATTTCAGTTTACTATTTGGTCAATAAAAGAAATATGGATAAGATAAACTTGTCCATTGTTGCATTCTGGCATTATATATTTTTAATAAAGTATATTTCAATATAATTTATGTTCTTAAAAGTCACTGCTTTACTACAAATTGGAAACTTTCCATCAGTACCATTAAGACCAACATTTTAGAGTATGCAAATTAGTTCTATTACTATTTGCTTATTTGTAGCCTCCCCTATTCCAAAAGGAATTTGAGAGGGTATGTAAATTAGTTCCTGTGAACATTTTCACCTGGCATAGAAAATTTGCCTTTCATGATAAATGAAAAGGCCGATAGCTATCATTAAAAGGTAGCATCACAAGAACAGATAACACTTTTTATGAAGTTCTTTTACAATTTCTCAAATAAAATACTAATATTTTCATAGAGTTTCATAGCTATATATAGTATGGCTATTAAAGAAAAAAGGGAGAATAAGGACCTTTCCATAGCTAAAATGTTATCTCAATATCTCCCATCTCAAATTCCTTCAAAACACCCATTTTATGAAATAATATAAAAATATCAAGACATCTCTAAATTGGGGTTTTCACCAGAATCAGAATAAAATAATCAAAAAAGCTTTAAAATAAAAAAGTATATAATTTTGAACATTATAGAACCATCACCTTAAAATTAGTGTTTAGCATAAGTGTAGTAAGAAGAAATCAGTATACTTATGTAATAAAAAAAGGTCTAAGAGCTATTACAAATCTATTCATGCAGTGTGATAAAACTGATACCATTACTATATACTGATTTCTGGAAAGAGGTTATTTCTAATGTTCCAAAGGTTACACTGCATTAAGACCTTACTCTCAATTTATTATTTTAAATTGGGCTAAAGAATAGTAATTGAGTGGTACATTAAATTTTCCAGTATAGAGCAATTCAAGTTGCCTGCCATAATGAAAGGTACTTCTAAATAAGAATATATGGGCAACTTCAGATTTCAGTAATGCTAGATTTATTTTTCTTAAACATTTTATTATATATTGCGAGTATAAAAATTAGAATTCAATGATATATCACAGTCTATTACCCCATCTGAAGTAATTTTCTTCTGGTAACAATCTTTTGCAATTAAAAAGACAATCCCCAAAAGAAATAAGGTTGTTTATATTCATGAATATACTAAGATTAAACTAAAAATATTTGAATACTCTAAAATTCATAATGCATACATTTAAAATATAACTCTTTGAAAAAAATTAAAAATCAATACATTGTAATGCTCACAATGAATATCTCAAGGTGGCTGTAGTGATAAGGTTAAAATTCAGAGTTTTCTAGAACTAAGCTAATAAAATTCCCAAGAAAACATTTTAAAAACTTAAAAAAACTTCACAGCAAGAAATAACATCAATATATCGATACTCAACTCTTGGTGATGGCATTTTATTAACAAGCGTAGGAAACTGACAAAGCCAGTATTTTTATGCACTTGACTAGAATCGGAATCTTAAGATTTTCAGATTCTAGCCCTCCCTCCCTCTCTCCCAATTAAGCTAATAGGGATGCATTTAAACCACTGATACTATGAACCCATGGCTACTACTTTCAAAGACTTGAAACAAGTAAAAAAAAACTGCAAGTAAGAAAATTAGTAACTTTGTAATAACAAAGTTATTGGTCCTTTTCAACCACAAAATACAACAGGAACACTGAACTAAAACCAAGTTAATAATACTCATCCCACCCTACACACACAGACATACACACACATATAGTCATGCATACAATATTTTCATTATGAACCTCTGCTTTTCAATATTCTCAAAGACAAACTGGGTTGTAAATGACTTTGCCTGATTCTTTATTCTAAATGCACTGAGCAAGTGATTAAGTGCACTTTTCAAACCTACTAAAAGGCAGTTTTGACTGCCATTTTAACCCATTAACTTGCCTACAAAAACAAATAATGACTCCTAGCCCACCACAGCAGTTATAGAAAGACATCTAGAAAGATTTTACAGATCATTCTGTAAACAGTTCAATTTAAAAGCTATAGTGCTTCAACACCAGCCCACTGCACCGTGCAATAGTCTAAAGTAAATCTTACAAAAACATCAATTTTATTCATTTAAATTTGTCAAAGGCAAAACCAGTAGACAGCTAAGCAAACTGCATTCCAACAGCAAATCAGATTCAATATTCTGTATCTGGACTCAATATGCACTAAAACTTAAGCCTGAATTACATTAGGGTTGCTGGACAAGGGTGGATAACTTGTGAAAGGGTAGGTGTCCAGTGAGGCATCTGGGCAAGGAGTACGTAAAGTGCTATTTCAATATTACTCAGTAGTCTTTACACAACAACACCCTTCAATTGTTCTTTTATAATATGAAACCTCCACTTGTCCCATTAAACATTATGTGAAATCTTATTAGAGCAATCCTCAGGTAGTATGCACCTTATTCTGGAAGGATTTTACTCCAAGACCGGTATTTACCATAAATGAAAGATACTCCAAAGGATAAAATATTCGTAATCAAAATATGTAAGCTATCCTATAGACATATATCTATTCAATTTGAATTCAAAAAGCAAAATAAATTTAAATTTTAGTTTTCATATTTTCAACTGTATCACTTACTAAATCACCAATAAAATCAAAGCTTTGAATACAATAAAATCAATTTTTTAGAACAAACGCCAAGTTCTTCTATTTTTGGTCTCTATACTTTAAAAATGCTGGCTGGGTGCAGCAGTCCCAGCTGAGGTGAAAAGATTGCTTGAGCCCAGGAGTTTGAGGCTGCAGTGAGCTATAATTATACCACTGCACTACAACTTAGGCAACAGAGCCGGACTCTGTCTCAAAAAAAAAAGAAAAGAAAAAAGTGCACAATTTATAACTTTAGCCATATCCTACACTGTTTAGAATAAAGCATGTTCTATTTCTAGATTTTATGGAAAATTAGTGTTTATTCTTTAAAATTTTTCTTTGATCTAAAAGTAAATTTCTTTATAACCAGCCTGGTGCCCTTTTAAATTATATAAATCTAACTTTATTACTTATGGTCAAAGAATGTAAAATCTTTAAGTTTTCCTTGATTTTTTGAAAATGTTCAATGGAAATATCCCCCATTTTCCATCGAAAATGTTCGATGGAAAAGTGGGTATATCTGTTCAAGAGACATAAGGTTTTTGTTATATTTACTAAATCAGTTTTTACTCTATTGCTTATTTTTTCTATGTCCTTACTTTCTCTGTCTACTAAGAATATCTAATATGAGAGCAGTATACTGAAGTCACCCACCATAAACGTATTTTATCAATTTCTCCACACATTTCAAATAGATTTTTCCTTTACATATTTGGTTGCCACATTTTTTGTGTAAATAAGTTTATGCTTATTAGTTTCTTTGTAAATTAGCCTTTTTCATTTTAATGTTCCCTATTATCTTATTAAATGCTTTTAATTAACTCTATATTTCACTTTCTTATTCATATTTGCTTAATATCTCTTTCTCTATCTTACTTTCAACCTTTATCAGTTGTTTTAATTATTAATGGCCTGTAGCTACCTTTGGTTTTTCATTTCAGTTTGAAAGTCTGTCTTTCAATGAGAGAACTCAGTCCATTTATATTTAGGGTGGGACACATTTGATGTTATTTCTTCCATCTTACTTTCATTTTTAAAAATTTATTATTTATTTTACATTCCTATTTCCTTTCTTTCCTTTTATTTACCTATTTTTTTCTGTTTGGTAAAGTTGCTATTTGTTTCTTTTTTCCTCTTTGTGAATTTGGAATTCTCACCATACTTCCATATTCTGTTTATTATTATCTTCTGATAAAAACAGAAACCAAAAAAAATAAGCTATTT